ACAATCTTCAGTGAACCTTAGCAGAATGCTTAATTTGTTTACTACATTCTTCTTTGACATTTAAATCACAGAAGAGAATGAACCACTTTCAAAAAAAAGTTTGTCCTCTTAAGTAAAATAAAAATGAAGAAAAACCCACACTTACCCACAGCAGTGAGGTTCCAGTAGGTTTCCAGCATCACATCTTTGTAGAGATTCTTCTGGGAAGGATCCAGCAAAGCCCACTCTTCATGAGTGAAGTTCACATGCACATCCTCAAAGGTCACTGCATCCTAAAATGTATCATACATGTACATAACAGAAATGGTGTGTCTGACTGCATTGTAAAAGTACACTTCATTTAAAACATATTTACATAATTCTGTGTGCTTGATACATTAATTTTACATCATAGAATTTCAAATGCATTAACCAACTCATTTAAGAAGAAAACAGAAAACAAACAATGCTATCCATTTCTGTGCCAACTGAAATGGACTATAGACTATAGACTATAGCATTGTAGGGAAAATGAATAGTAACATATACAAAGATACATACAAACAGCAACACTGTATAGTACTATCAGAAAAACTGTATCAAAATTATTAACTTCAAAAAAGAATGAACATTATGGGCATGGTGGTGCACACCTTTAAACCCAATCTTCAGGAAGAGGAAACATCTGAAATGCTATGATTTCCAGGTCTGCCTGTTCCAAACAGCCGAAGTTACATAGTTAACATAGATAGTTAGACCCTGTCTCAAAGCAAAACAGATATAGAACACTCAAGGGCTCACTGAACTTGCCTCCAAAGATTTAAACATCCACTCCAATTCTGTACCCATCTACCAGAAAACTGGAGAGACTCCTTTAAAACTGTATGGTTAATATAATATTCCTAGAAAGGAATACATTTTTAATAAGTTTCTGACTAACAGATCAGAGAGTTCTCAAAATCATTAATAAGGCAAATGAGGGTTCTAAACCAATTTTAGATGACAACAACAAAAATGATGGTGCATATAAAGATAGGCCAACAAGTCAGACTACATGTTACTTTTGAAGAGGACATGGATCAATTCCCAGCACTCATCTGGAGGCTCCCAACCATTCCTAACTCCACATAAAGTAAACAGGCACACATGATACAGATATATGAAAAAGATCCATGCACACATTTCAAAATTTTTAAGTGTATAAAATATATACACAGATATAGGGAGAATATTACACACCTATAACCCAATGGTCCAGGAGATTAGTACTAATGTCATGAATGCATGTTCCCTTGTTCTAAAATATGATACCCTCTGCCAAAGTTCATGATGTGGGAAAATTTCCGCACAAGAGAAAATGCTTGATGTGTACAAAAAAAAGTAATTTGATTAGCCAAAAATATAAAAATAAAAATATCAAGCCAGAAAAATGGTTTAGCAAGAAACAGGAATTGTTTCTATTTTACCTTACGTTATTGAGGGACGAAGTCTGTAATGGTAGTGATGTACCTATATGACAAAGCGAAGGTCTGCTCAGTTTCAATCACACAAGAGGAAGTGCGGTGAAGATTTAAACATTCAATGCCCTTTCCAAAGAAGTAACTTCTTCCAGAAATGCTCCTCCTCTTAAGGGTTTCATAAACACCACAATGAAGGCCACACCAGAGACAAATGCTCAAATGTATCATTCTACCTGGGAGACTTTTCATTCATTCCACCATATTTGGACACAAGTGATGAGAGGAAGAGGATCACAGCAAGCACAGGATGCAAAATGCATTCAGTCTGATTTCAAAGATCCCCATATTATATAGCACTCCCAACACTGTTCAAATGTCCAAGGTTCTTCTTCCACTCAAGGCCATCTCTTGACTGTATCTTATAGAATCAAAACAGAAATTATATGTACACTTCACACAATGAAACAGAATATACATTTCACTTTAAAGACCTAAGAAATATTGGACTAAGGCAAGACTAAATCCCTGCTGGGCAGACAACAAATCCTGTAGCTCTGTGTCAGACACCTAGGGCTTCAGTTTTGAAGGGCTTAGATGCCTCTTTATCTCTGCAACTTATGCACCACCTTCTTAGGCTATTTCCATTTCCTATATGCAGCCATTCATGGCAGGTGTCTCAAAGCTTGGGTTTTCCAACAAATTGTGGTCTCAAAATGCACCCAGGCTTCATCCTACAACGACTCACAGTATCTTCACTGGGAAAATGATCCTGCCAAAATATTGGCTGTAATAGTGCTGAACTGAAACCACAGAGAAAGGCTCCATTACCTTTACATTTTGTATCCAAGGTCTTTTGAGAAAACAGTAGCACATAGATGATAGCTCCAATAGTTCTAACTTTGGATGGACTCAGGCTCAGTGGAACACAGAAGCAGCAGGTTCTGCATGGAGTAGCTTTCTGGGGCTAGCAATCAGCTTGCCTTTCCCTTTTATAGTTAAACACTCTGCTGGGTGGTACAGGACCTTCAAAACACATTTTTTTGTATGTCCAAAGAACATGTACATTCTCTCTAATGGGGCTATTCTCCCTGATAATTACTGTCTCTGGTTCACATGTTTGCTTTCCAAATATACCTATAGCTGTTTTCATTTCGGAAACACAGGTTTCATTAATTTCTGCCACTATCACTGCTATTTTTCTCTGTGCACCTTCATGAGTATGTGTTATCAGTAATAACCTCACTACACACTGAATGTTTTATCAGTCCATTACACTTTTATTTAGGATTATTCAATTTTACAGGAAGTAGGTAGAATACAGAGAAATAATAATCCAAAATATTACACAAGCAATCTAGCTTAATGACTGTTCTATGCCTGTTAAGAAGTGCCATGACCAAGGTGACTCCTATAAAGGAATACTTTTTAACATTGGGATTGATTACAATGACAGAGGATTAGTTCATTATCAACTTAAAAGGAAGTATCGCCTTATGCACACACATGGATGAGGGTTATGTCCATACATATATAGGCAAGCAAGCAGAAACACTTGTCCTGCATTGATATTTTGAAACTTCAAAGTCCACCTATATGACATACTTTAATAAACAAGACACATAATCCCCAAGGATATAGTTCCTAATTAACACATAGTTCCAATAACTGGGGAAGCATTCAAAATCTGGATCTTGATGGTGCACAGAAAATATAAACTGTGATAGGTATAGAATCTAAGTAAAAAGAGCTCTAAATAATGAGTGAAATTTTTTGAAGGGAACAGAGAGAGAGAAAGAGGAATTGGGAA